ATATCTCATTGCTGACAGTATATCTCATTGCTGACAGTATATCTCATTGCTGACAGTATATCTCATTGCTGACAGTATATCTCATTGCTGACAGTATATCTCATTGCTGACAGTATATCTCATTGCTGACAGCATATCTCATTGCTGACAGCATATCTCATTGCTGACAGCATATCTCATTGCTGACACTATTTCTGGTAGTCAAGGCCAAGTGACCAGAGCTTTGACTGCCATCTCATCGCCAGCCTCGCAGCTCCAGCCATAACATCAGTCAACCGCTCAGCTGTCAGAGCGCGACTCGACGTGTCGCTAACAAGTTACTGAACACGGTCAGGTTGCCAGCTTCGCCAGGCGTTAGTGCGCCCCGAGCATTAGAGGGTGTAGGTTGTGCACGTGCTCAGCTGCCAACTGAGTATTGAAGCACTGATGTTTCAAAAGAATCTGGCATGAATATTGCTTATTTCGTAAGAGTTCAGAATGATAAGAAGGCGCTCAGTAGATAACGCCTCAAGATTAGAGATTACGTATCTCAACTTCTCCTTCTGATGGCAAATCGCAGCAGTATAGCCGCCTAAAAATCAGCCGTGCGCTCCTATGGCGGATAAGAACAAACAGAAATAAGACGATATCCGTTTGGGGATTAACAACACACAGGCATGCGTAGTTCTACCCACTGATTAGGAAACGCAAGGAGAATGAAGAATGAGGTAAATAAATTGAAGGGAAAATAAATGGAAATATTGGTCTAATGAGGGAAAAAGGAGAAAGAAGGAAGGAGGGAGTGGACGCGAATGGAAGCATGAGGCAGCTTGAATGTGTGTGTGTGGGAGTGGGGTAAGGAGTGATCCTTATACGTACCACGTGACCCCGCTGCGCGTGGGCCGTACCCCCCCCCCCCNAGTCTACGACCATCGTACAGCTTACGACGGTACGACTAACTTACAGCTTACGACCATCGTACAGCTTACGACCATCGTGCAGCTTACGACCATCGTACAACCTACGACCATCGTACAGCTTAAGACCATCGTACAGCTTACGACCAACTTACAGTCTACGACCATCGTAGAGCCTGATATGGTGGTACGGCCCACGATGGCCTAATCATCTTTCCATATCAACAAACGCACAAAATATAATTAATAATTGACTTACCACGTTGTCCATGAATGACGTGCAGTGTTACTCATCAGTATTCACTGCTTGGCGCCTTCTATTGTATTCAAATTTTTGTATAAGTAAACACGCGTGTATTATTGCTATCAGGAACACATTACCACAACCTCACTCGATCGCGTCCAGCAAGTAACTGAGATTATTCAAGTCTTTGCGTTGCCCGGCATCCGCGCCCGCGGAACTATGAAACTAACTTTCCGAAATCCAAACCATTTTCAACACCGAATCAGAAATACAGATAAATTGAAAATAAGAGGTTGATATTTCGAGCTTTAAATGTTCAACAAGAGAAAACACGTATGTACTATATATTAAATCATCCTAAGTTGTCGGGATTCAGAGTTATTATCTATCCATCATAGGTCACGTCCTCGGACAAATTTACGGCCTGACCCGCGGCCGGTCTCGCGGCCGGACTCCAAAATCAGTGAACATAGAATATCTCCCAGACAACTTTCAAAAGATAAATTCAATCGTGAGGGTCTACACAAGTTAGGTCAAGTCCGGTCATGTTCTCACTCATTTTGGAGTCCGGCCGCGAGACCGGCCGCGAGTCCGCCCGTAAATTTGCCCGAGACCTATCCTCCGAATCAAAAATACGGAATCACACTCCCATATTTTATCGCAGCTCCTGCAATTTCAAAACAATGCCTAGCGCATCACTGACACAAGATGACATGACAGCCGATGTGATGCAAAATGTCGGCCTCACATTTCTTATAATTTCTCTCCTATTTACATGTGATCTTATAAGCCTCGCTTTATAATTCTATTTTTGCATTTTATGTTCATCATTCTTATGGTGTCATCAATACCGATCGTGCTTCACAATTGATCTCTTCTCTCATGACGTAGATCAATTCCAGTACAGTTATTTGCTGCTTCAAATTACAATAAAACTATGGCGAAAATATAACACGTGTCTGGTGTGAGGGGCGGGTTCTGTCTCTTATACACATCTAGATGTGTATAAGAGACAGCCTAAACACTGATCAGATCACAGACAACTGAAGGTGGCTAGCAGACGTGCAGTTGAAACAGTGCCGTCGCTGCAACGAAGAAAAGCTGCTTTCAATTCCTGCATTAAGGCTGTTTTGACGAAAATTTTTGCTATACTTNCAGGTGCAGTGGCAGGGCCTCCAGGTGCAGTGGCAGGCCTTCAGGTGCAGTGACAGGCCTTCAGGTGCAGTGGCAGGGCCTCCAGGTGCAGTGGCAGGCCTTCAGGTGCAGTGACAGGCCTTCAGGTGCAGTGGCAGGGCCTTCAGGTGCAGTGGCAGGGCCTCCAGGTGCAGTGGCAGGGCCTCCAGGTGCTGTGGCAGGGCCTTCAGGTGCAGTGGCATGCCTTCAGGTGCAGTGACAGGGCCTCCAGGTGCAGTGGCAGGGCCTCCAGGTGCAGTGGCAGGGCCTCCAGGTGCAGTGATCACGAATATGTTGATCTCTTCATTATTTCCTAATTGAATAATTTCCATAACCGACGCCATTTTTAAGCTTAAAATATTATTCATATATTATTACTGCTATTCAATTTATTCATATATGTAATATTAACAAAATGTTTTTAATATTCTGTTCACAGACTTAAAAATAATTATTCTTCAATATTTCCTTCAAATCCATAATGGGTAAAATTAATGTCATGATCCTGAGTATTGTAGCGGGGGTGATGTTGTTGGGGGGGTCAAGTGGGGGGCCACTGGGGGACAGGTACATGAGGGGGGGTGCGGGCCTTCTCACCCCCGCGAACGTGACGGGGGTCATCACCACCATCACTGAGCTTCACGACGACGTCCCATGCGCCGTACACTGCAGGAATAACGCACAGTGCGCCAGCTTCTCTGTCAACGGTCAGTGCGAACCGTAGTGTGAACCGTAGCGTGAACCGTAGTGTGAACCGAAGTGTGAACCATAGTGTGAACCGTAGTGTGAACCGTTGTGTGAACCGTAGTTTAAACCGTAGTGTGAACCGTAGTGTGAACCGTAGTGTGAACCGTTGTGTGAACCGAAGTGTGAACCATAGTGTGAACCATAGTGTGAACCGTAGTATGAACCATACGAACCGTAGTGTGAACCGTGGTGTGAACTGTAGTGTGAACCATGGTGTAAACCGTAGTGTGAACCGTAGTGTGAACCATAGTGTGAACCGTGGTGCGAACCGTAGTGTGAACCGTAGTGTGAACCGTAGTATGAACCGTAATGTGAAAAGTAGTGTGGACCGTAGTGTGAACCATGGTGTAAACCGTAGTGTGAACCGTAGTGTGAACCGCAGTGTGAACCGTAATGTGAACCGTAGTGTGAACCGTAGTGTGAACCGTAGTGTGAACCGTAGTGTGAAC